CCAAATGCAAAGACCCGGGAATGTTTGCTATACCTTGTACCATTGGTGATTTACATGTTGAAAGTGCCATGCTAGATCTTGGAGCCTCAATCAACGTCATGCCATACTCGTTTTTCAATCTCTCAATGTTGGACCTTTGGAAGAAACCGGAGTCATTATTCAATTAGCGGACAAGTCAAGTGTATTTCCAAGAGGCATGTTGGAGGATGTACTCGTTCAAGTTAATCAACTAGTATTTCCGCGGATTTCTATGTCATTGACCTTGAAGAAAAGACTCCTTCCAAGTCATCTATGATTCTCCTTGGAAGACCCTTCATGAATACCGCTCACACGATTATTGATGTCCACAATGGGAAGATCACCATGGAGTTTGATGGAGAGACCATTCACTTCAACATCTTCGAAGCAATGAGATATCCTAGCAATATATCTCCATTGTATCGAGTTGATGTGATTGAGCCAATCACCCAACAATTATTCGAGTTATCAAATGGGAATCTTTTGAAGATGGTCCTTAACATGAGTCTTGAAGGTGAAAGTTTGAAGAATACCTTGGATATGTATACATTGGATTCCGAAGTCGAAAATATTGTGAAGGCTTTAGAAATTACTAATTCCACAAAGAGGGATGTTTCTCAAGTTGCCTTATCTCATTCTCCAATCAAGATGCCACCTTCCATAATCCAACCACCCACACTTGAATTGAAAGCTTTACCTAGCCATTTGAAATATGCTTATCTAGGTCAAGATGGGACTTACCGGTGATTATCTCTTCTCATTGAAAGACTTTGAAGAAAACCAATTGATTGAAGTCTTGAAAGAGCATAAAGAAGCCATGGGGTGGACCATAGCGGACATCAAGGGATAAGTCCTAATGTATGCACTCACAAGATACTCATGGAAGATGATTGCAAACCTAGGAGGGAAGCCCAACGGACGATTAAACCCTCCTATGATGGAAGTTGTCAAGAAGGAGATAATCAAGCTACTTGATGCAGATATGATTTATCCAATTTCCGACTCCAAATGGGTTAGTCCGGTGCAAGTGGTTCCCAAGAAAACGGGAATCACGGTTGTGGAGAATAACAAAGGTGTAATGGTACCCACTCGAGTTCAAAATGGATGGAGGGTGTGCATTGATTATAGAAAGTTGAATTCAAGCACGCGGAAAGATCACTTCCCTCTTCCTTTCATTGATCAAATGCTCGAGCGATTGGCGGGGAAATCGCATTATTGTTGCCTTGATGGATACTCGGGTTTTCACCAAATACCCGTTGCCCCCGAAGATCAAGACAAAACAACTTTTACATGCCCCTTTGGCACATTTGCTTACAAGCGGATGCCATTTGGATTATGCAATGCTCCCGCCACATTTCAAAGATGCATGGTGAGTATCTTCTCCGAGTATGTTGAAAGTATAATCGAAGTGTTTATGGATGATTTCACCGTGTATGGCAATTCGTTTGATGAATGTTTGGGTAACCTTAAGAAGATTTTGAAAAGGTGCATAGAGAAAAAGTTGGTGTTAAACTTTGAGAAATGTCACTTCATGGTTAATCAAGGAATCATTTTGGGACACATCGTCTCCAAAAAGGGCATTGAAGTTGATAAAGCCAAAATTGATGTCATCCAAACCCTACCTTACCCAACATGTGTTAGAGAAGTGAGATCTTTCTTGGGTCATGCGGGATTCTATAGAAGATTCATCAAAGATTTCTCCAAGATTACGCGACCAATGTGCCTTCTTCTTCAAAAAGATATCGATTTTGACTTCAATGTTGCATGCCAAGAAGCCTTTGGACAAACTTAAAGACTTGCTCACTTCCGCACCAATAATCCAACCTCCAAATTGGGAGCTTCCATTTGAAATAATGTGTGATGCAAGAAATTTTGCTATTGGAGCGTCTTAGGTCAAAAAGAGGGCAAAGCATCACATGTCATCTACTATGCTTCTAAAACATTGGATAATGCTCAAGCCAACTATTCCTCCACTGAGAAGGAACTTCTAGCCATTGTATTCGCCTTGGAAAAATTCCGGCAATACCTTCTTGGGACAAAAGTAATTGTATATTCCGACCATGCCGCATTAAAGTATCTCATGACCAAGAAAGATGCCAAACCACGGTTGATTCGTTGGATTCTTCTTTTACAAGAATTCGACCTTGAGATAAAGGATAAAAGTGGTGCCGAAAACCTAGTTGCGGATCACTTAAGTCGGTTGAATGTTGGCGATTCTTCTTCTCCTATCCTTGATGAATTCCCGGATGAGCACCTCTTCCATATCTCAAATTCCATTCCATGGTATACGGATAATTTCAATTACTTGGTTACTAAAGAAATTCCTCACGCCTTTACCAAGCACCAAAAGGCCAAGTTGAAGAGTGATTCCAAATACTACGTATGGGACGACCCTTATCTTTGGAAACATTGTCCGGATCAACTAATACGGAGGTGTGTTCATCAAAATGAGGTCGAGTCAATTTTGAAATTTTGCCATGAATATGCATGGGGGACATTTTGGTCAAAACAAAACCATGCGAAAGGTGCTTGAATGCGGACTCTATTGGCCAACAATGTCAAGAGATACCTATCTATTTTGCAAGAGTTGTGATAGATGTCAAAGAACGGGTACCATATCCATGAGGCATGAGATGATTCAAAGTCCTATCCTTATTTGTGAAATCTTTGATGTGTGGGGAATCGACTTCATGGGTCCCTTCCCCGTTTCGTTTGGTTATACTTATATACTCTTGGCAGTTGATTACGTTTCAAAGTGGGTTGAAGCAAAGGCTACACGCATGATGATTCAAAAACTGTAATTGACTTCTTGAAGTCAAATATTTTCGCAAGATATGGTGTACCGAGAGCCTTGGTGAGTGATAGGGGCACTCATTTTTGCAATAAAATGATGGAATCAATGACAAAGAGATATGGTGTCACACACCGGATATCAACCACTTATCATCCACAAACAAATGGCCAAGCCGAAGTGTCAAAAAGAGAAGTCAAACAAATTCTTGAAAAGACCGTCAACACTACCCGAAAAGATTGGAGCTTAAAGTTAGAAGATGCTTTATGGGCGTATCGGACCGCCTACAAAACTCCAATTGGTATGTCTCCATTCCGCCTTGTCTATGGAAAATCTTGTCATTTACCGGTGGAATTGGAACACAAGGCATATTGGGCGGTTAAAAAGTGCAATTTCAATCTTGAAGAAAGTGGAAAGCACCAAAAAATGCAACTTCAAGAAATCGAGGAGTTGAGAAACGAGTCTTACAAAAACGCAAGCATCTACAAAGATAAGAAAAAAGTGTTTCATGAGAAGCACATCACTCGAAAACACTTTATTCCGGGCCAAAAAGTTCTTCTTTATCATTCACGCTTAAAGCTATTCCCGGGAAAGTTGCGATCTCGATGGCACGGACCTTTTATTGTCATAAAAGTGTTTGATCATGGTGCGGTTGAAATTAAGAGTTTGGAAACAAATCAAATATTCGAAGTGAATGGGCACCGCTTGAAACCATTTTATGAAGGCTTTGATACGGGAGAATTCGACAACATAACATTGGAAATACCAAATTACAAATGTTGATGGAAGCGGGACTATGTCTTGGCAAAGATGTTAAATAAATGCAATGTAAATAAATAATGTCCGTTTGAAGTTTTTAGTGTTTCTACACTTGAAGTTGGCCATAAAAATAAGCATATAGAAGCCTTCCAGTGATTTTGGTGAAGTTTGAAAATTTCCAAAAATTTGACTTTTGCGCGGGTGCCCGCGCAGTCTTTGCGCGACCAACCCCAGCCGCGCAGGTCCCGAGTTCCAAATTACACAAACAAGGGGTGCAAACTGATTGTTGCGTGCGGCCAATACCCACCCGTGCAGGACGTTTGCGCGGCCAAGACTAAATCACTTTATTTATTGTGCGGCCACCAATTGACCCAAATTGCTCATCCCACCCGGATAGCCGCCCCACGTCCGCTCCATGTACGATAACCCGACCCATTTACCCACCCTTATAACCCCTTTAACCAGTCGGACCCTTCTTTCACCCTTTTGCCTCCCATCAACGAACAGTCCCTGCTACTCCCTCCACCATCGACTCCGCCGTCCACCACCGTCGGCGCTACCAGCCGAGCACCACCAAAAGCCACCGCGCACGTCTTCCGCCTCCACCCAGCTTCTTCCACCGGCCAGCATTCTGCTCCAGCGCAGTCGTCCTCCCCGTTCGCGTTTACTTTTCGTCGCCGGAAAAGCGAAGCTCCGCCGCTGTCACCTCCCCGCTAATCCTTACGCCGGCGCTCCACCAGCACCACCTTCCCCACCTAATTCCGCCTAAACCCCACCCTTTTCAACTCCGAAACCGTCACTGGCCGCCACCCTTCTCTTCCTCGCCGGAAAACCGAAAAACTGTAGATCCCGACACAACCTTCCATCCAATTCCAAAAATTCTTGGGGCAACCTGTACCAAACACTCCACCACATACCGATCTACTCTTAATTTGGGAAAATCTTATCAACGGAAAACCAAGCCCCACCACCGGCCGCCACCACCAATTTTCTCCAGAAATTTCAAAATTTTTGTTTCTCACCGGAGATTCAAAAGACTTAATTTGTGGGCCAAAAATTCAAGCTTGGGGTGCGGATTTTTGCGGAATTCTTTCGGACTTCAACACACAAAGTTGGTAATCCCTTTTAATTTATTGCATTCAATTTCTAATTTTACCAGACTTGTGCTATGCATTAGGTTAAATAGAATTAGTCTTAGCTTGCCTTGAATTGATTGAATTGAATTGCATTGTGCCAAATTGCCAATTTGGAATGTTACCCGATTTTAATTATTTGATTTGAGTGGATTGGTGTGAGGCGAGTGTGAGGGATAATCTTGTTTAAGTTTTTGTCTTTGCTAGGTTTATTCGCAGGTACATTGGCAAGGGATAAGACCATTCACGCATCTCATGGTTCTTCGTGTGAAGCTCAATCCTCGGGGCCATCCAAGAAAATGTCCACCGACCATGTTGATCGTGATGGGAACCTTACCCTCACGAGTGCCCAAAGCCGAGAGTTCAAATCCAACCTTCAAAAGCGTGCAATCCGCGCCACAAAATTTTACCACCAAGATTCTATGATCAACTCGGCCTTACGACCACTTGTGACAACTATTTTTCCACATTGGTTGGCACCAGTTTCTCGATCTTTCTGCACGTACCTACAAGTAGCCCACAATCGAATTCCTCTCCACCTATGCCGCAATGACACAGCGAGGGTACTCACTTTCAAACTCCAGGGTCGGCAGCACCGACTCAATTACAAAAAACTCAACAAGATCATGGGCACATATGACATCTACAACTCCGACATTTACAGCTACCAATGGACTCAATTCAAAAGCTTGCCCAACGTAGACTTTTGGACCCAAATCACGAGCCTGCCCAAGTTCAATCCCAGTCGCCAAAAAGACCCGTTTATAATACATCCTTGCTGGAGAATTGCCCACCGGATCCTATCCACATTTATCTTTGCTCGTCACGAGCCGGGAAAATCAACACCGTTGAGTTGTATTTTCTCTATTGCATGTCGTGCCACCGTTGGTCTTTACCCGATTTCGCCACCTTCTTTTTAGACAAATGTGACAGCCTCAGGACGAAGACCACTGGTGACATTTGTATTGGAGGTCTCATTACCCTCATTGGTTTGGGTATGGGCCTTCAATTTCCAGCATCTGAATATGTACCAGTGGATGATCCACCTCTTTACCTTCTTGATTGCATTACTCTCATGCGGATGGAATTAATTCTACCTCATCCTAATCTTCTTGGACATTTCTCTTGGCTAAACCATGTCAAGGACCCAATTTACATCTTACCCAATCCAAGTATCTCCACCTTCATCACCAATGACCCCGAAACATGGTTTTTGCCTCAAGACTTGCCAGACGATGATGACGCAGCCGCGGATGATGACATGCAGGTGGATCCTGATGATGCTGATAGCCCATTCGAGGCTGAAGACCATTATGATCTCCCAATCCGCTAGCTACCTCGACCTCATCCAGCTCAAGCCTCCGGGTCACACTTTCAGCCCTCGCGAGAACACTCCCAGCCACAACATGACTACCACTCATACCAACAACCCAATGAGCCCGACCCTGCACATGAATTTCCTCTAGATATTTACAGCCAGCTTGCTTCCTTGCGCCTCCAGGGAAATAGAAACACCGCAGCCATCCATCGCATAGAGGAACAACAAGCATCGCACCCACACTTACATGAAGGACCTATGGTATCATTTTCGGCCCGAGGACGATTATCCTCCTCGCGGGCCTCCTCCATCTTGATCCCGGTATAATCCTTCCTTATCTCATCCTAAGCGTTGAGGACAATGCTTAATTTTAAGCTTGGGGTGAGGTAATCTAATCTTTTATTTTTATTGCATTTAGGTTGTATATAGTTGCATTTAGAGTTAGTCATTTAGGGCATTCATAAAAATTGCATAAAAAATTCAAAAATATTGCATATTTTCTTTCTTTCTTTTCTAATTTTCATACTTTTTAGATGCATTCTAGTTTAAGTTCATGCATTTTTGTTCTCTCTTGTCTTCTCATCCCTACAGGTACCATAGCGCCGAGTCATAAGTATTGAATCATAGATTGGTCCTGGGTCTTGATATGGAATTCCTTGTATTTGATGAATGGAGCACGTTTGTGAGCCTCACAGACCACTTTGAGACCGCTTGTGTGGGGTCAGATGCAGGTAGCTTGATTGGGTCTAGGTGCGGAGGGATGTGGTTGGTCATGCCAATGTGTCGAGCAAAGACTAGCCCAGTAAGGTATTTTGAAGACATTTAAGATCTTGAAGACTCCCATCTTGGTTTTGGAGGGAGTACCCCTTAGTACTCCCGAGTCTCGTCCGAGCCTTGTTTAGTTAGATTCTCACCGCCTTTTTAGGATAGGTTATCATTCTTCTAGGGGTCTAGAGTAGATAGTTAGATAGATTTTGTTTATCACACCTTGCATTGAGGTTCTTGATGAACTTTGAAATGGGTCCCCCAATTCACATCTTTTGGGACCAAGTCTTTTCGGTAACACCCATTTTTGAGTCATTCCCCACCCTTTTTAGTTGATCTTGGCACATTGTCGATGATCATTAGGTGTTTATATTGGCCTCCATCTATCACTCAATTTTCACTATTGGAGTCCTATGTTACTTGGTGAAAATCCTTAGATCCAAGAAGCAACACAAAAAATGAAGAAATTTGAAAAAGTGAAGAAAATAAGAGCCTATTAAAGATGATTCAAGAAAAGCAACAAAAACAAAGAAGAAAAAAAATGAAGAAAAAGAGCAACACAAAAAGAAGAACAATATTCCAAGTTCAAGACTTATGTTATATATCTAGTTTGCAAAAAAAAAAAAAAAACAAAAAAAAATGGATGTCAAGCAGCAAATGTGATTGAAGACCCAATAACAGAAGTTCAAGATTGAAGATTTAGGTTGTTAGGTTTAGATTTAGGTTAAGTATAATTTTTATTATTTTATTTTATTTTTGATTTTTGGTGAGAAAAGGCCCCGACGATGAGACGGTAGACTGTAAAGGACAGTACAAGGGAGAAGCCTCTGAAACCGGATGTTTGCCCGAGGCCGTGCTGAAAACCCTATTTCGTTATTATACACTTTGGCCTGACAAATGTAGGAATCATAGTGTGTGAAGAGGCGCCTTTCCTTCGTGCACTATGGTCTACATTGGTGATTTAAAGTGCCCCCACTGGGCGCATCTTTGTTTCCTTTGTCTTGCACACCACGACCGCATCTAGCCGTGATCTATTCGCCCATCAAGTGGTTGAGAATGTGGTTTATGGCTCTAAAGCGGGGAACATTTTGAAGATGCGTAGGGTCCATGAAGGACTAATTTTGACCATGTTGACTGACCTGACAAATGTAGGAATCATAGTGTGTGAAGAGGCGCCTTTCCTTCGTGCACTATGGTCTACATTGGTGATTTAAAGTGCCCCCACTGGGCGCATCTCTGTTTCCTTTGTCTTGCACACCGCGACCGCATCCAGCCGTGATCTATTCGCCCATCAAGTGGTTAAGAATGTGGTTTATGGCTCTAAAGCGGGGAACATTTTGAAGATGCGTAGGGTCCATGAAGGACTAATTTCTGACCATGTGACTGATGTTGAACAAGTTTCTATGGTATCTTTCTTTTT